ATTCCATACTCGATTTTGTCATTTTTCAGATGAAGTTCGGTGAGCAGCTGGCAAGTCATCTGACACCGGAATGGCGGAAGCAGTACATCGACTATGAAGCATTAAAGAATTTGCTGTATGATAATATGCTTGAAGTGCCTTCGGAAGAAGAGCGACGTGAAGAGCACATCGCGCAGATGGATGAGAAGTTCTTTAATGAGTGCGAGAAAGAACTCACTAAAATCAACCTCTTTTTCTCCCAGAAAATAGCCGAAGCACAAGGGAAGTACCATGAACTTCAGTCTGAGCTGCAGATGTTCAAGGAAGTTGTGGAACAACGTACTGAACCGATGACTTTACGGCGAAGATTTGGACATCGAGACAAGCTTCACAAGGAAACGATAAAGACCAGTCAGCAATTGAAACTTGCTTTCTCCGAGTTTTACCTCAGCTTGGTTCTTGTACAAAATTATCAGCAGTTGAATGGCACCGGATTCCGGAAAATTCTCAAGAAGCACGATAAACTTACCGGAAATGAGCGTGGACTCGATTGGAGGATAAACAAAGTGGAGAAAAGCTCATTTTTCCTGAATCGGGAGATCGAGACTCTTATAAACAATGTGGAAACATCCGTGATCAACGAGCTCGAAGGCGGTAATCGTCAAGCTGGAATGAAGCGCCTCAAAGTGCCTCCATTGTCAGAAAAGCAAAAGCCTATTACTACGTTTTCACTTGGACTTTTCATGGGAGCAGCCTTAATTCTCATCACCGCCATACTTTTGTCATGGTGGGGATTAGTGTCACGACCAAACGAGCCACAATGGGTTGCTGTGCGACTCTTTCGAGGACCATTTCTTCTGTTCCTGTCGATTTTCATGTGTGGTGTAAATATGGCCGGCTGGGCCGGAGCTGGCGTTAATCATGTGCTGATTTTCGAAGTCGACCCAAGGCATCATCTTTCCTATCAGATGCTCATGCAAATCGCCGCCTTCATGATCATGCTTTGGGCTGTGGCCGTATTAGCTTATCTCTACGCTCACCTCATCCATATACCACCATTTGCACCTCCACTAGCACTGATGATCATCTGCTTCATTATCATGTTCAA